AATGGAGGCATAAGTTTGTGCTGCTGTTGCCCTGTGGGGAAATGAGAAAAGGCAGAGTCACATTTACAGCACTGTGAAATCCCCCAGATTCTCAAAGGAGTCAATGGAGAACGTAGCAACCATAGTTTCTTAAGGGACGTGCGAGGTATCTTAGTGATAAAGAATCTGCCTGCAGTGCAGACACACAGGTTCGATCCCTGGGCCAGGCAGATCCCCTGGAGAAGGGAATGGCAACCCACTCCAGTATTCCTGCCTAGGAAATCCCATGGACTGAGGAACCTAGAGGGCTACAGTCCATGAGGTCACAAAAGAGTCAGGTGTGACTTAAACAGCAACAGCATAGCCTCTTTAGCCTCATTCTTTCCAACAAATATTTTCTACTTAGACCATTGGGTTATAGTTATCTAGCCTCTGTTCTTAAGGCCTGAAAAAATAAGAAGGGTATGGATTGAAGAGACAATTTATAAGATCCATCAAATGACAATCACTGTGATCCAAGACCCTAGGCAGTGGTTCCCAACATGTGAGCCTCACATGTAAACCATATTCCCAAACATAATTTCTGGCACTAGATACACTGCGCTTTACTTCTCCTAAACAGTGTATCAGCCTGGGAAAGAGTGAGAGTGATGTTATCACAGAAATAATCTTGGTTCCTCTAATTATTTTTTAAACTGTAAGTTATTTGCAAACTTCAGTGCTTCAGCTGTGTTTGGTAACAAATACTGATGACATGTCTCATTCCTGACCTGTGTCATGAGTGTCATATTTGAGTAGTACTGTTTCATTCTACTTCTCAAAAACAAAATGTCCCCAAAGTATAAGTCATATCAATATTAACCATGGCAGAAATACTATTAAAAATACATACAAGCATTTCCAAGGTTTCTAGGGAAATCATTCCCAAAACACTTCTGGGACCGTGTTTTTGAAATCAACTTCTGTTCCCAATATACACTGATGTACCTCACAGGCTTATACTCAGAGCTGACCAAGACACTCATTAGTTCATTCATTAGTCCTTTCATTTTCAACATATGCAGTTCACATGATAAAAACCACTGATCCAGGATAACAGATGACAGATACAGACATCTGACACATTTTAGTCAACCAATACGTAGTAAGGTCCTTTGACAGCTGCAGTTCTGGAGGTAACAATGAACAGCCAGAGCCCTGGCCATCTAAGAGTTCACAGTCTAGTGGAGACAACATACAAGTAAAATAATTTTAATGAGGTATGATAAGTAAAATGGTGGACATGAACACCATGTGTTATGAGCTCATGGGAAAAGAACTGAATCCATCATGGAATGATTGGTGAAAGCTTTGCAAGAAAGATAGCACACTGACCTGCTATCCATTGTCAGCAACTGAACAGGTGCCGCTAGCCCCAGAGAGCTGCTAAAAACCTCATGGGGCCTGATTCAGGATCCATTAACCTGAATCTCAAATGGAAAATCAACAAACTGTGTTGGTGCCCTTGACCCACCTCCCTCCTAACTAGGAATCTCACTGTTACCAATCTGTCCGTATTCTCTTGTTTCTCTGTGGTAGATACTTCAAGGGATAAGCCTCACCACAAAATTCTCTCCTATCTGGCAATAGCCACAGAGGTATGGGATATGAGAGGATGTATTTTATATGACCCTGACCTCCTAGAAATAGCTGATTGTTACAGAAGGAGGTTCTGGCCCAAACTGGACCATTTAGTGCTCTCTCAGTATCTGAAATTCTAAACTGAGAGCCACAGGGACTTGGAAGTGAATCACACTGATGCCAACACACTATGAAGAATGACTACAAACTCCTCTCCCATAGGAAATCCACAGCCACCCACCCTACCTTCTACTCTTTCTACCTGTTGCTTACTGTACTCCCTTCAATTCTATAACAACTTTCCCAATCACCTTGCAACTGCTAATGCCGGTCAGAGTTGATTCTTTGCTTATAACCAAGACGGTTTCATACATGTCACCTATCCACATAGTCTTCCAATTCCTATACCAATCTAACTGTGTTTTCCTCTGATCAAACAATTTGCTGAGAGATGAATGGCTCATAAATCTTGGTATGTCATCTACCTTCCCAAAATGTACTAGTTTGGGGAGACTTCTGGAAATATAATGTTGAAATCCAGCAATTTATGCTGGTGACATCCCCAAACCACTTTTCTTTTTTCTACTGAGTCAGTTCTTCTTGTTAATATCTCCTTACTTCTGAGTAAGCCTTAGAGAAATGAAACATCTTTCACAATTCTAATCACACCACCTCTAGCACATACAACCTAAAACTCAAAGCAAAATCATCTTCGTGCCTACCCAGGGACGCCAAAAAAAAAAAAAAAAAGAAAAGAAAAATGAAGCAAAATCATCAATGAAAAAATGTTTGTCCATAAATAATTCAACGTACTCTTAGAATTGACCCTGATATCTTTTCTAGGTTCATTTCTCTCATCAGGCACACTGGTAGTATTAGCACTAGTAGTCGTAGTAATAGTATTTGTCTTCTATTCCTACCAAATCCACAAGAAGGAAGGACATTATCTTCATTTGGGGAGTTCATTGACAAGGATGGATCAGTCCAGAGCTACCTCTTTCAGGTGCTAGGAGACAAAGCCCTTTGCTAAAGTCATGTAATTAAAAAAAAGAAAAAAAGACACAGGCAAAGATTAGGAAAAACCTTCTTTGGGGGGCAAAGAAGAGAGTTTTCAGTAACTGAATATTAGCTATCCTGATGATTAGAAAAACATTTCCTATAATTTCTCTCTTCTGTTCTCAGTACTTGCTACTAACATTTCTGTAAAACTTGGAATAAAATAGAGCGGCATATCAAATTAAATAATACCCTCAAAAGTTATTTATCCTTTTCAAAGATTAAGCATTCAACCCAAAGTAGAGCTTCAAAACCTGCCTCTAACAGTCTCCCTTCTTTTTTCCAGTTATTGCAGACCTCAGTAGGAAGTGTCTGTGAACGTGGTGAATGTATATGTATGAATGGGGGGTGGGGCGAGTCTGCGTGTGTGTGTTTTATTCCGAGTGGAGTCAGACGTTTAATGAACACCTGGAAACGAGCTGGACAGTGATAGCAAACGCTCCATCTGTCTCTGCATGTGTGCGCTCAGGTGTGTCCTACTCTCTGTGACCCCATGGACTGTAGCCCACCAGGTTCCTCTGTCCATGGAATTCTCCAGGCAGGAATACTGGAGTGGGTTGCTATTTTCTCCTATGGGAAATGCTCCATAATATGTGTTAAATGAATGACCAATAAATGAAGAAGATCTATACTCTTTGTAATAGCATTTTAAAGTAACATACTGCTCTTCTTCCTGGTAAGTTTATACTTTTATAAGAGAGAGAAGTAGCATTAGCAACAACTATTCGTGAAAATTCATACCATCTTGGTCATTTCAATAAATATATTAATAGTTTGAATTTGTACCATGCTTTTCCATGAATATGTCAGCATTTGATGTGTTTTAGCTCCAGGAAGAATGAATTAAGTTTTTAAAAAATCACTAATTTCACTGAGAAATTAGCCTCTAATATCACATTTTGATTGTATGTAATTAAGGATTCCATATGATCCTGGGGAAATGCTACTTTCAGCTAAATTGAAAACAGGATTATAACAGAAGAGATGATATAATTCATTCTAAATGCTGAGGGTGACTTATTCTTGGGTTAAAGACCCAAGTTACTTTCTGTTCCAATATCTCTCATGTTATAAAATGATGCAGACTACTTTAGCTCCTGTATGTGGCAATTTCTATGATTTAGGCTAATCAATTCCTCTGTCAAGTATAATTAATCATCCCTATCCTACTGTTTTAGGAAATTTCATCTACAAAAGGCAGCGGAACAACTGTTCATGGAAACTAATAACGGTTTTCTCTCATGGAAAGATCTTTCAAAATAATTAGTAATTAGTTAAATGTGTGCAAGTGCCCAGAAATTTCAGATGCTTAGTCAATTTCAAATGGCATGGCCTTTAGCTAGCCAACCAGCACAAGTAGTAAGATTGAAACAATTAGTTTGAAAAGCTATACAAAACACTGGTAAGAAAAATTAAAAAAAGGAAATCAGTTACCTGTGTATAAAATTCAATATAAGTGTTAGAAACATAAATTAAAATAAAGATGTAATTGCAAACCAAGTAGAGAAAGAAGAAATTAAAAGAGCCTAACAGCAACTTATATTTTCTATGTTCAGTTTTTGTTCCTAAACCCAAAGTGAATAATTTTTATTCAGAATATTTTATACTTATGTTTACCAGAAGTAATTTATCTGGGTAGAAAAGGTGACCTATATTTAAACTGCCCATTTTGCATGCACTAAAATCAGATTTTTAATTGCATGAAATCATAGCCTCTCAGTACTGAGAATGCTTCTCTAATACTCAAACTAATTCTCATTCCTCTTACTGAGGCTTTTTTGCATTTGGTTTATAAATGTTCATTTGTATTATACCAGAAATTTTGACTGAATCATTTTTTAAAACTAATTTGCTACCAGGAAAGCAGTGATAGCACTGTGATAGATTTAAACCAGAAAATTATTTACACAATTCTCTCCAACCCTTTCTATAGTATCTTGGGTCAGAACCTCCTGTTGATCAATTCCCATACCAGCTCTGCTAGTCAGTTCCAAAGGGTTCCCTTTCAGTTCAAATCCATGAGCAATCCCTAAATTTCATCAAAAATTAACATTAGGTGATGATATGTACAAGAATATTACTCAACACATTACACTTTTTTTAATGATTAAGTACTTTCTATCTGAGGCGATAGTTTGTCTAATATACTACTTATCAAAAGTACATCTTGTATCATTTATGTATCCTTATATTGCTGAAAATATATCTTATTCATCTTATTCTGTCTCTTCATCTTTGCAAGCCTGAGTTTAAAGCTGTTTTTAGCCTCTATGGACAAGCATGGCATCTATAGTGAAGACTCTGCAGGGTATCCTCATAACATTTTTTCTGCCACATACCTCATCTTGGATGTCCATTCTGTAATAGATTCTCCCGACATTCCTCTGTTGACAAAGCATCAACCCACTGATGAAATCAGATTATCACTCCACGGACAAGCATCTCTGACCGAACTCTGGAAAGCAAATCATAGAACACTAAGAATAAAAATCATAAGAATAGGTCTGCATGTAGTATAACATGCAAAACACAGCATGCGTTTCTACTCTTACTGAAATGGAAAATTTTCCTTCGCTTGCTTAAGGCCAATTAGTAATAGTTAAGCTACAGTCTTCTGTGACATGGAACGTGTCTGTCAATAAAAGGAAAAGCAGATCATAAGCCTACTTCTCAGCTGTGACATGCTGTCTAGGCTCTGGTATGTCTCAAGTTGGAAAATATGCCTTTCCCTTCACAAAGAGAAATACCACATGCCACAGGGGCTGAGAACCCTGTGAGCTTGCTTATCATGGTGTTCTGAAACTGCAAACTACTGACTTTAAAGGCATATGTTGTTAAAATATTTCTTTATTTAATTTTATAAAGGCTTCCCTTTAATAGCAACTTATTCAATGCTGGGAGAATCCAAAACAACTGCTATTCCTTCAACTAGTCTATGATATTTTATTTTCAAATCTCAGATAACATGTCCTTGTAGTGAACTGATACACATATCTATCTTCAGATTTTAGACTGAATTCTCAAACTCTTCACACTGGATTCACCTGGGAGTTTCAAAACACACCGATGCCTATTATCTACCACCAGAGATTGCAAATTATTTGACCCCAGTGTGGTCTGAGCTTGGCAGTTTTTAAAAATCCTCAGATGATTCTAATGTACAATCAGGTTTGAGAATCACTGGTCTATAAGAATATTTATTAGCATCAAATTACCATGTGGGCATTAGATAAATAATTATTGCATCCTGTTATCATCTGACAAGGTCAGAGAATGACATTCAGACTAGTTAACCTTACTAGCAATTGTTGTAACATATTAAAATGCCAAGTACTTTACCAACATATTTAAGCCTCACGACATTCCTGCAAGATAGGTATTATCATTCTTACTTCTTGAACAGGTGAACTGAAGGTCAGAAAGTTTGGATTGTTTATCCAAAGTCACCTAATAAATGGTGAAGCTGGTATTTGAATCAAGTCTGTTTGATGCTAAAAGACCTGTTCTTTCAACTATGCCAAACAGTTTCACTGGAGGTTATATCACCTCCAAAGAAGTAAAAATTAGTTCTTGGAGATCAAAAAATTCTTAGATATTGTAACGATCTGTGATCCTCTAAAGTTCAACTCTGCTGACACAATTTTATTCCTTAATTTATCTCACTGGAGAAAATTTTAATTTCTTTCTTTTTTTTAATTTAGTAAGACATTAATGAAAAAAATGTTTGAGAAACAATCTATCATGTTCTGTCTCCATCCATTTTTGTTAATAATGAGTTAACATATATACTACTCAAACACCACATATGTATTATCTGCTATACCAAATGCCTGTAGGGAAAACAGCTCTCTCATCAATTTTACAATTCCCAGGTTGTCTTTCCTGGTGGCACAGTTGGTGAAGAGTCTGCCCACAGTGTGGGAGACCTGGGTTCAATCCCTAGGTCGGGAAGATCCCCTGGAGAAGGAAATGGCAACCCAATCCAGTATTCTTGCCTGGAGAATTCCATGAACAGAGGAACCTGACAGGCTACAGTCCATGGGGTCACAAAGAGTCAGACATGACTACTGATTAATACACAAGTTTTACTCAGAGTTGAAAAAAGTCATAGTATGAATAAAGCTGCATATGTCATAGGTCCCATAATGCTAATGATAGGAGAGGAAGTAGTGAGTCCAAAAAGTATTATCTAAAAGTTTTTATAAATGTCTATTATATTGCTACTTCATCATCATAGCAGTAGGTTGTTGGTTTGCAAAGTTAGGAATTTCCCAAGTGAAGTCTAAAATGAGGCCCTGTACATGTATAGAGCAAGGAAAGACCAAGAAAAAGACCACTTAAGATTGGTAGGTGGCAGGTTTTAATAAGCAAGGGAACTTACAAGGCGTATCTTATGTATTGGCAAGATGAGTAGATCTTCATACCTGTCCCTAGAATTTTAAAAGTTTACGTAGAGGCCTTAACTGAGTTTAGTCATCTATACTGTCCAGATAATCTCAACAACACTATCTCCAGGCTGTGTCCTTGAGTTTCTAGTGCAGGAAACTCAAGTGGGACGCATAGTCCAAGGACAGCAGAATGGGTGAGCAATCATCAATTGCCCAGGTCCAACTCCAGGGTTAGCCAATGTTACATCCTCTCAATGATCTTCTCCAACATAGGTAACCACTAGAGTAAGCTTTCTCTGATTTGACTTGTTACGTGGCAAAATATCTCAAAGTTTTAAACACCTAGAGACAAGAATCAAGTCACTCAATTTTCTCTTATAGCACTGGGCCTTGGATAAACTAATCAATCAGAAAGTGTGTGTAAAATTCAAAAGAAAGAATTTCCATTGCCTGTACAGAGGTTATAAATCATACAATCAAATACACACAGTAATTAAACAATTCTAGGTAAATTGATACAGTAGATGTTTTTCCACTTTTTTTTAGAATCGCTATTTTTAAAATCATTTTTTATTCTATAAAAGACAAAAGTACAACACAAGCATCAAAATTTAACCTGATACCTTTTCTAGATGTTAATTTGATTTATTAAGATGTCACCATTGCCCTATGAAGGAAAACAGAAAGAGATATTTGGGGCTATTGGCAAGTGTTCAAATACCTGAGCTCAAACTTTGGCTGAAGGCGATGAGAAACTCTACCCTCCAGGAGCCTGAGAAAACACCTCAGGAAGGTGCGTCCAACTTAAGCCAAAGAGCCAGTGTGCTTACTCCTGCCTGAATGAAACAGAGATAGAATTAAAGTGACAATCAGAAATATGGTATCACAAAGTTTATTTGCCCAAGGCAAGACTAGAGTAGCTTTGAACAGTTTCCTTAAAGGAGTTGCTGCTTTAAATATTTGATAACCTAACAATCAAGGAGCATTCCTCTGTGAGCAAAATTCTAGAAAAATTCTCTGAGGTTTCCAACTACAGAGATAAAGAATATTCAAGAATGTGCCTGGAGGGATGAGGGAGGCAATGAAAGCAAGAACGGAGGCACTGCAAGCTCTGAGAGGGGCTTTCCCTGTCCACAGCCTCTGTGCTCCACAGAGGAGCAGAAAAGACCCAGAAGAGGAGAAAGCGAGCGGAGCCGCCCCTCCTGGGGTGGTTGCGTAGGAGCTGAGATAATGTCCACTGGGAAAGAAGCCTCACTGCATGAAGGGCTCTAGCCCTTTCTGCTTTCTCTAACCCATTATGCACCTAGAGCCCCTGCCCAGTATCTTTGATTATTCTTCTCATGGTGAGAAAATTAGGTCCACCAGAAAGAGAAAACTCTAGTTAAATTTGCATTGAAAAATCCAAGCCAGTTACTGAGACTCGGAGGGTAAAGTCACACTCAGATTCCTGTCCGAGAGAGAATCTGCCCCATGAAAGCAGCCGTGAAGCAATGCTGCTGCCGCTACTAATCCTGTTCAGTCGCTAAGTCACATCCAGCTCTTTGCAACCCCACAGACTGCAGCATGCCAGACTTCCCTGTCCTTCGATATCTCCTGGAGTTTGCTCAAATTCATGTTCATTGAGTCAGCGATGCCATCCAGCCATCTCATCCTCTGTCGTCCCCTTCTCCTCCCACCTTCAATCTTTTCCAGCATCTTTTCCAATGAGTCAGCTCTTCACATCAGGTGGCCAAAGTATTGGAGTTTCAGCTTCAGCATCAGTCCTTCCAATGAATATTCAGGATTGATTTCCTTTAGGATTGACTGGTTTAGTCTCCTTGCTGTCCAAGGGACTCTCAAGAGTCTCTTCTAGCACCACAAGTCGAAACCATCAATTCTTCAGTGCTCAGCCTTCTTTTTGGTCCAACTCTCACATTCATACATGACTACTGGAAAAACCATAGCTTTAATTATATGGCCCTTTGTTGGCAAAGTGATGCTCTGCTTTTTAACACACTGTCTAGCTTTGTAATAGTTTTCCTTTCAAGGAACAAGTGATTTTTAATTTCTTGGCTGCAGTCTCCGTACATAGTGATATTGGAGCCAAAGAAAATAAAATCTGCCACCATTTCCACTTTTTCCCCTTCTATCTGCCATGAAGTGATGGTACGGGTAACACCAACAAATGATAGAAGATAACATTTATTGAACATCTGCTATACGTCAGTCACCATATTAGGTGATTTTTATTCATTTTTTTCACTTAAAACTCTCAAAAATCTTATGAATTCTTTTCTTATATATAAAGAGAGAACACTAGACAGTTTAAGTGTATGTTAGGTCACAATTTGCCTTGAGTTTTCTTGTGTAATAAGCTAATACTTGAAAGCTTAATCCTCTCATATCAACCCCACTTTTCTTATGTTTATGGATGTAATGGAGAATCTTTGCTTCTTCTGTCAGGGACAGAAACCTAACTCAAACCAGGCAAAGCAAAAAGGACATTTCATGAGCTCATACAACCAAACTACAGCTGGGGGGGGGGGGGTCAGGCACCAGAGCTCAGGCTCATGCTTCTGCTTTCCTTTGGATGTCATTCTCTTTCTTCTCTCTAGCACACAGGTATTCTCCAGTCAACTGAAAAAACTAGCCATTGACAATTCCAAGTTACCTCCTTTCAGGTTCATCCCTCCAGAGCGAAAATGCTTCCCCTCCAATTTCAGGGTGAAGAACTGGGCCTCACCGGCCCAGTTTGGGACATATAGCCCATGTGACCCCACCCCAGAATCGATTGTTGCAATTTAAATGTCCAAGATTGAATTATGGGAATACCTCTATGGCCAAAACATCAGGGCCCTGTGTCTGGCAACCCTGGCAGAATCACCTGATTAAGATAAAAGGAGTTTTTTAAGAAGGGGCGAGAGGTATGGTTACCAGAACCAGGAATGCAGGACAGAAAAAAAAATAGTAGATGTCCACTACACCAGTTAGTATACAAATAACCTGTATATCATGTTAAATGCACATTCTGATTCAGGAGGTCTCAGACAAGGCCCAAGGTGCTAAATGCCCAATAAGTGCCTAGAAG